GGATACTCTAAACATTGTTGGAATAAGTGACTGTTGAACACACTACGGAGATATAATACATTGTTGGAATAAGTGACTGTTGAACACACTACGGATATATAATACATTGTTGAATAAGTGACTGTTGAACACACTAAGTAAATCTAAAACATTGTTGGAGTAAGTGACTGTTGAACACACTACGGAGATTGTTCGTCACGAACTGTACTATTATGTACATCTTTAAACTTGACTCTAAAAATATTTATCTGATAATGACCTTCAAAATCTGTCAGTTCGTAGTTTATATTGAAAATTAGGGTTAAACATAATTAATTTTACCTCATATGAAAATATTAAACGTTCTACTAATCAAGTCATACAAATCTGTGATGTTGAATATTTACAGGCTAGTTAGGGGTCATTTGCAAAGAAAAAAAAATGGGTCTCTTTCCCCCTCAACCAACTCCACAGTAGAGTAGCTTTATCATACCTGTAATTCGTAAATTTGTAGATGGGCCTATATCAGTGAAGGGTATTACTACCAGACGACATGAGTCACGTAGAACTTCATCAGCTGCTGTATATAAAGCTAAATGACGTGTAATAAAACGTGGAACATGTATGCCTACTGTTTGTGAAGTTTTTTCCGTCAACCTAGAATTCGAAACCAAAACATTTCCGGAGGTTGAACGGTACTCTAGTAAAGTGTGTATTAAACACGTTACCAGCTAGCAGAGCAATAACATTTTGTTAAGTACAAATCTACACAATGAGCTACCTGTGAAGCCTAAAGCTAACAATGGACTAGCTGGGAAGCCTAAAGCTATACAATGGACTAGCTGTGAAGCCTAAAGCTATACAATGATAAACACGTTACCAGCTAGCAGAGCAATAACATTTTGTTAAGTACAAATCTACACAATGAGCTACCTGTCAAGCCTAAAGTTACACAATGGACTAGCTGTGAAGCCTAAAGCTATACAATGGACTAGCTGTGAAGCCTAAAGCTACACAATGGACTAGCTGTGAGCCTAAAGCTATACAATGGGCTACCTGGGAAGCCTAAAGCTACACAATGAGCTACCTGTGAAGCCTAAAGCTACACAATGGACTACCTGGGAAGCCTAAAGCTATACAATGGACTAGCTGTGAAGCCTAAAGCTACACAATGGACTAGCTGTGAGCCTAAAGCTATACAATGGGCTACCTGGGAAGCCTAAAGCTACACAATGGGCTAGCTGTGAGCCTAAAGCTACACAATGGGCTACCTGTGAAGCCTAAAGCTACACGGTGGGCTATTTGTGAAGCGTAAATCTGCACAATGAGCTACCTGTGAAGCCTAAAGCTATACAATGGGCTAGCTGTGAAGCCTAAAGCTATACAATGGACTAGCTGTGAAGCCTAAAGCTATACAATGGACTAGCTGTGAAGCCTAAAGCTACACAATGGACTAG